CATGCACCACACTAGTTGCACGCTGACCCGCTAGGCGACCTCGATTCGACCGACTGCCATGCACAGGCTGCCGACGCCGTCAACACAGTATCCGCCCTAGACAACGAAAGTCAAACTGCTGAATGTAAGAAGTAGATAAAANCGACGCCGTCAACACAGTATCCGCCCTAGACAACGAAAGTCAAACTGCTGAATGTAAGAAGTAGATAAAAATGCAAGGTAGCTTTTGGTTCCCCTTGCGCTGTTTGTCACCCCCCGAAGCACAAACGTTGGTAGAGCACGTCTGCATAGCCTCTTACTAAAGACAATGAAACACACCAGCCAAGGACAGCAAGAATTCTGAAAAAGTCACCTTTGGTCATTCTTCAAGTGGAAGCATGAGGGAGCAATCGACAGGCAAGTGAGGAATATATATTTCTCGGAGCATCGCTCTGCTTCAGCAATGAGTAAGCCGCCTATGCGACATATGCACTGGGTGATGACGGCCTTTTTTACATTGTTCGTCTACGCATTGCTCATGCACACATTTTGCATTGTTCACGTACTCATGCACACACGTGCACGTCAACGCAGTGGCTCACATTTTAAAGGGCCGTAACAAGTACCTGGCGAGCGCCCCGGCTGCTCGCCTTCTTGTAAGCCGCGGAGACAGTGCAAATTGACGAAAACGGGGTCACCCGGGTAAACGTTAACTACCAAACGCTGCTTCTTGCAGCATCTTGTCTGGTGTTCAAGCCACTCGTTCATGCATTCCAGTGCTGCTGCAAGCTGCGTATGCTGGAAGAATGCTGCAAGCGCACCGATGTGGCTGTGAGCAACCCGATCCAACTTCTGGTTAGACAATGGCACTAGGATGTAGACTAGGGAAACACGAAGGATACGGATCGAAGAAGGCATTGGTGTCAGAGTGTAACAGTCCTTAGTAGTGCGACGGGAACGTAAGGGAGCGTCTTTGCAGAAACGCGTCCCCTTTGGAATGTGCGCAGTTGGAAATTCAACATGTTCTTCCTGTACTACTCATCGGTCCCTCGCCAGCGCCGCATAAAGGTCCACTGTAGTTGGGAACAGCTTTTGTTCAGCTGTAGTTGGAGGAGAAACAGCTGAAGTGGCCGGAGTGCAGTACAACTACGTACGAAGCTGACGAATCTGCCACAAACTCTGCTACAGACGAGCTGCGTGGAACGTTCGCTTTCATTAAGCATATTCGTTTGCTGAGATAGATGAGGTTCCGACTGTATTTGGCAAGTAGTGCGGGAAAAATAGATATCTCGTGTCTTGGATAGAGTTGCAAAACGAGGGAATGCCACGCAATCGTAAAGTGATCGGACGTTTTCGCGACTTTCCTCTGCAAGCACTCCACTGACACTTCGGAGTCAAGAGCTGTGTTGCGATCAAGGCTGGCGAGCAGCGGTACAACCCGGCAACATGCACCACACTAGTTGCACGCTGACCCGCTAGGCGACCTCGATTCGACCGACTGCCATGCACAGGCTGTCGACGCCGTCAACACAGTATCCGCCCTAGACAACGAAAGTCAAACTGCTGAATGTAANATGCACAGGCTGTCGACGCCGTCAACACAGTATCCGCCCTAGACAACGAAAGTCAAACTGCTGAATGTAACAAGTAGATAAAAATGCAAGGTAGCTTTTGGTTCCACTTGCGCTGTTTGTCACCCGCCGAAGCACAAACTTTGGTAGAGCACGCCTGCATAGCTTCTTACTCAAGACAATGAAACACATCAGAAAAGGACAGCAAGTCCTCCGGAAGAGCCACCTGTGGTCACTCTTCAAGTGGAAGCATGAGGGTGCAATCGACAGACAAGTGAGGAATATATATTTCGCTCTGCTTCCGCAAGGCGCAAGCCACCTATGCGACATATACACTGGAAACGAATCAGAAGATGCCGGAAAGACGTTGCCTCTCGACTATCACACTTGCAAGATCTTGAAGCTCCGGTCCGCTGCAGCCTGCTGCTCTCAACCGAGACTCGAAGGACTTCGCCGTGAGTAGAAGAGTGTCTTCTCCAGGCGGCACCGCGTCCGCAGACGAAGCAGGCATGGCACTCCGGAGTGCTGTCGTGTACGCAGCCGCACAAGCGCTCCCTGTCAAAGAGATCTCCTGTTCTGCTGCCCGAATTGCCCCATCCACAGACTGAAGAGTTCCGGGAAGGGAGAGAGAATCTGCGAATTGTCGCCCGAGGGCAGACAAACTTTGGTGCACTTTGCTCGCCTCTGTCACGCTGAACCGTAGCGCATCGATACCGATGACTGCGTCCCAGTCTGGAAGCTTCCCGGACCCTATCTCCCGGGCTTTTCGCACGGTCTCTGCTTTCGATTTCAGGACGTCTTTAAGCTCAGACAGCTTTTTCTCCCATGTGGTAGGGCCGCGTTGTAAGTTTGAACATATACCGCGACAATTGTTAAGCCGGCGTTTGAGATCCTCCACCTTCCTAGGGAACGCACTTGAGGAGCCAATAACTTTTTCAGCTTGCGCAATAAGAAGAGTTCCTTCTTCGAAAAGGTCTTGTGCTCTGGGTAAGAGCTTAGCGTCGAACTTGACTGTGTCTGCTACCACCTCGGCACCTAGTGTGTAGTCTTCAAGTTTTCCTATCATATCTTCCAATTGCTTCTCCGTATCCAACACTCTTTGATCAGATGGTTCTCTCTTTGGAGAAGGGGGGCGCTCTGGGGGGGGAGGGTCCCCTCCTGGTGGCGTAGGCTGGACTGCAGGTGGTGGAGATGGCTCCTCTGGTGGCGGTTGCTGCTCCTCTGGTGCCGGTTGCTGCTGCCCTTCCTCTGGGGGGGGCGGCGGGGGCTGCATATCCATCGGAAAGTTATATGCATCACCTTGCCAAGGCGGAAGTTGTGGGGGTTCAGGCCACTCTTCAGGACCAAGTCCGTCCGGAGGAGAAGGGGGAAATTCCTCGGGCGGACCCACTGGCTCGTCTTCTGGTGCAGTCAATGGCGCTGGTGGATATTCCGGTCCGACAGACACCCAAGGCGCTCCCAGTTGAAGACCAGACGGAGTCGTGACTGGTCCTTGTTCTGTCAATGGTCCATGTGGAGGCGCGAGGGGCGGTGCAGGGGCGGGTGTGCCCAATATATACGTTGCAGGTGGAGGAGGGTGGGGAGCATCAGATGGGGGAGCGGGGGTCGGTGGGGGCGAGGCGACTCCTGCAGGACCGCCAAGGAAAAGCTCAGACAGAGGTATGCGCTGTGGATCTGGCACGGGCCCCGGATGAGAAAGCTCTCCTTCACGCGTTTGGGGAGGGGTCACTGGAGGCGGCGGCGTGGGAGGAGCAGGGGGTGTCGAAAGCCATTCTTCCACTAAACCTGCAGGAAAGGCACAGGACGGAAATGGATGCGAACGCTGAGAAGATCCAGAATATCTGTC